AATCCCTGTACCCCCTCTCAGGGATGGTCTTATCAATAATGACAATTTTTTCTATAACCCAGCCATTTCTTGACGGATCCTGCTCATCTTCGAACTCGACCGAGACATTGTTAAGACTGAACTGTGTAGAAAATTTCAACGAGATTGGACTCTGCTTTCGAAAGTTATCGGATAAACGGACGGACGGCCGGCCGGACACACTGACCGATTTTAGTAGTGTACTCACTTTTTGAGTACACAACAAGCTTCATAATTTGCACAGCTTTTATTAAATTCTTGTCAGATTCTTCGAAGTCAATACTATCACACTCTTTTTATGAGCAGACTACGTGTTACCTATATGAAAATCGATAAAAATTTAACGATTAAACAAAAAAAAAAATATTATATGTTCCTGCTTTGAAACCGTGAAAGTGTGTTAAAAAGTTGTTTTAACAAAATCTCACGAGATATTTCACGTTAAACTATTTCTAACAAGAAAATACGCTTGAAATAAAAGATGGCAAGAAGTGTGAATTGTTGTTTTCACATACTTACTCAAGACGAAGTATAAGACTGATTCTGTATTACATACAGAGAAATATGATCGTACTTGTTTGCTCTTGGTAGACAAACGATATATGATCTAACATTAAAAAAATTCTTGTATAATAAATGAAAGAATATCAGAAGTTTTGCTCGTAAACAATATAAGCGTAATATTTCTCTAAAGTACCCCTCTTGTTTAAGTTGATAAAAAGATTTTAACATATTTGATTGATCTAGATCAGTGATACACTTTATATTTTGTAAATATGAATTTTTAAAAATAAATTTTGTGCTAAGTACATTAACAAATAGATAACATCGAAGATCAAAAGTATTTCACAATGAATAATGAAATAATCTTCGTTAAATGTCAAGTCATGAATGAAAATTTATTAAAAAGTTCACGTATTTTAACTATCGCTGAGAACTTAACGAAATTTAATCATATTTTGTTTCGTAAAACACTGTTATTATAGTGTAGATTTCAGCGAAAACTCCATTAAATGTATTTTTATATTAACAGGCCTTAACGAGAATGTTTTCTTTTTTTTTTTGTGAATGTTCCAGGTCTTGTCGCTGTTCCTATCCTACGATACAACTATGATCATAGAATGTCTTTTACATCACTCATAAAGGCAATAAATTTTATGTTCTTATTTCACGATAGAAATAAATCAAAAGACCTGAAAATTTTACAATAAATTACTCTGATTAAGGTCCGCCTCTACGCAAAGTTTCAAGTCAAAAATCGAAAATGATTTATCTGTTAGAGGACTTTCCTCGTAAAGTCTTGCTAACGGTATACAGAATTTTAGAATCTTCTAAAACTTTTAGTATATATGTGTTTGTGAACCTTCTTTTTACTAATTTCATCAAACTGATACAGATAAAGTGAAGTATTTGAATTGCTTTAGTTCATTACCTTCCTACTATGACTTTCATAATGAATGAAGAAAGTTACAAGAAAAAATTCTTCTCTTGTTATGATAGAAACTATATTTGAATTTAATTCATAGAAAATTCTAATAATACTTTTTCTAACATATTCGATTATGCTGTATTACATCTCAAATAAAATTTTATGTTCTTTTTTGTTCTTATAGATTTAGGATTATCTCAGGTAGCAGGCGAATATGGTTCAAATCGAGAACCTGAAGTACTAACAGCTAAATGTCACAATTTACGAGTTATTATTGAAAAAGTTCATAGGTATTAAATCAATTTGAAAATAAATAATTAATAAATTAAAATTTATTTATTTTTTAGTGTTCGAGCTATTGGTAGTGCAGCTATGAATTTATGTATGGTAGCTGAAGGAAGTTGTGATGCTTATTTTGAATATGGAATTCATATTTGGGATTATGGTAAGAAGAAAAAAAATTCTAGAATTTTGTTTTTTGTAAAAAAAAAAAAAAAAAATTTATTTTTTCTTTAAAAAAGCTGCTGGTGATCTAATTGCTCGAGAAGCAGGCGCATATACATGTGACCCATCAGGTAAAATAAATTTTCACGATATTTAAATAGAACTTATTTTGTTTGCTTAGGCGGTCCATTGAATCTTCTTCATCGTTGCATTTTATGTACGGCAACAAAACAACTTGCTGGACAAATTTCTCCATTACTTACTCATGTTAATTTTCCAGATGATTAGTCATATTTTAACATAATATAAAATATTTAGCAGAGAAAAGTCTCATTTTTAGTCTGGAAAAAAAAATATGGTTTATTTTAGATAATGAAACAATATTTTCTTATTATTATTATTGGTATTACTACTCTTCTTAGCTCAGTTCACTGTGCTCCTGAGGATAATTGTACAAAACTATCAAATACAGATTGTCAAACATGTTTGAGTGAACCTAAATGTGCTTATTGTAAGAATAACAAAGTTTGCTTTGTGTATGGTGTCAAAGATATAATCACACCACCATGTGGCACAGTTGATATGCAATTCGAAACGTGTGTTGGTAGGTTGAAAACAATTTTTGTTTTCTCTTGCTGAATTAGCCGATATTTGGATCATTGATAGTATTCATTCTGTTCTTCTCTCTACATTTGATAAAAATATATGACGAGATGTTCGGAAGTATTTGTGGATTTCAATGGGGGATGATTGAATATTATTGTAGGTTGAGACGAAATTGCTTTTCGTTTTTTTTTTTTCTTTTTAAATTTAAAGTCTACATAGAACTTTGACAATAAATATTTGTTTGTTTTTAATCTTAGGCAATTTTCGAATTTGGATTATTATTGTTGCTGTTGTTGTTGGTGTTGTTTTACTTGCTATAATTATTGCTGTTTGTTGTGTGTGTCGAAAATGTAAACATCATTCTATTCGAAAGTAAGTTAAAATTTAATTATTTTTTGAAATTTATTGTGAACTTATCTTTTTTTAGAGAAGAAAGGAGACAACAAACTGAAGATCAACGAATCGGAGAACGAATGGAAGAACGACGAGCTGCAGCTGAAGCTCGGTAAATTTTAATATACATAGTTCAATAGTACACGGTTGGAAAAAATATTATTCCAGGGGGATAACGCTATAATTTCAAATAGGTGATATGATGGATTTTAAACCAAATGAAAGCCCGTGAAAAATGGGATTTATTGATGCTAAATAGTAAGGGTTATGTAAACCTTTTAATATCGAACTTAAGAAACTTTCAGAAATTTTATACATTTTTGGGGGTGGAAAANAAAAACGAAACATTAATAACAGAAAAAGAAAAATCTAGGTGAGGCTCAGGAAAAATTTTTTTTTTCGCAAACTCCAATCGGAAATTTTTTTTCATACAACCTCATCATTTGGGTCCAATATCATCCTCCATAAGTTTCATTTGGGTCCCATGCTCTGAAGCTTAGATCTAACATTCATAAAAATTCTTCCGTCGCCTCTGAACCCTGATGAAATTTTCCTATGGCACTTGCTTTTTTAGACTGTATGCCAATATTACTACTTGCATTAATTTCATTTAGAATCAAAATTGGTTTAGTAAAGTTCTATACAACCTTTATAAACTGTATCTACTTCTGACGCATTGGTTTTATCAGCTATCCAGATATTTTTATACGAAAGAAAAATTTGTTACAATAGAACTTACTGTTGGATAGGTCTTGAAAGCCTCTGCTAATTTTACCTACTATATGTGAAATTTTCTTATGCTCATTCTTCGGATTAGAGAATATTTTTCGTCTTGGTTATTTGTTTTCAAAAAAAACAAACTATCCTAGCAATCTTATCCATGATCATAAAGACTTCATTTTTCAGGATTCTTAGACTCGGAACTACGGGTATGAGAGCCTAAATACTGTCAAAAGTCTATTTTTTTTCTGCAACAGATGATATGGGTCATACATACTTGACAAAAGCTATATTCTCAAAGTCATATAAAAACATTCTATTGTATTGTTTTAGAGTAAAATTAATATAAGTTTGTAGAGAATTTATTCGTTTTGAGATGTAGATACAAGAAAAAAAATGGGCAAACATTTTTAGGACACGTCTTATTGCGAAGACTAAGAAAAGAAAATGTCTCGAAATTTTTATTAAAAACAAAGCTACTTTTATTATTCGAATCAGGAAAATGATTTCATGCATTTTCTTTCCGACATTATACTTTATTTCAATATTTTGATAACTAATATTCGCTGACATTAGCGTGAGTTAATTGAAGGTTGCTGCGCAGCAACGATAATATCATTCAGCCACTGCTTATGACTCATATAACTCGAGTTTGGTCATGTTTTAGATTCTCTTATTTTATTTTATTCAGAGGAAAGAAGAAAAGGACGCAATATAAAAAAAAACATTGTTTTTTCTACTATTTTACTTCATTTCTGTTGTGAGCCATACAGGTATGTAGTGCACGATACACATTATCATCAAGAACTAACTTGCGATGAATTTTGAATACAATTTAGTTTAGTATAAATAAACAAAGAATCATATAGAAGAACTGAATATTAGGACTTACACTAGAATGTTTGTATCATCAATTCTATTTTAAAAAATTCATCAGGATTAGTTGAATTTTTCTTTTCAATTTGACAACGCTCATGATGCAAATAAAATATTAATAAGACCTTTTCTGTTAAAAGGGTTCACTTTATTTTCTTCATTTTAAGCAAAAATTGCCAAATGGAAAGAGAGAGAGAGAGAGCAAGAGTGTCTCAAAAAATTGAATGTCTCAAATACGAATATACATAATTTAATCAAGTGTCATACGCTTGTCACATTCTCTGTTAGCTGTATGATCGGCTGACAGTTTTCTGATTTAACGGAAGCTAGTTTGTGAATCATTACTAAAGTCATACATAATTTTTTTTTCTTTGCTATTTGATACTGAGGTAGCACATGCAAACAGCAGCATAATGTTTTATCAATAAAACAACACAAAATTACACAACAATGCAATAAGAAATAAAAAGAACAATTTCTTTTTGTTGTTGTAGTTTTTTAAAGATTTCTATTTAAAGAAAAAAAAATAGTTTTCGAGCAAATCTCTACTAGATTAATATGATGAATCGGTTGAAATCATGAATGAAAATTCCTACACTTAACTAACACAACTCATGAAAGAATCGCAAATTACAGTTAAGATTTCTGCTATAGCAACAAACGGAGTATAAACTGTGAGTTTCCATTATGATAAAAAGACTTGACTGTATCCTCAGAAGTTAATGCGTAAATCGAAAAATGCAAAAATAAGCCACAGCCATCGAAACACCTTTTTGCGTGTGTGTGTGTGAGTAGCGCCACGAACATATTAAAGAGATATGTGGAAATTTGTTAGTTCATTTTAGTACATATCCATTAGTCAAAAGACTTAATAGTATTTTCTTAGAATAGATCATTTATTCGCATTTTGATCTACTCATTTTTCTGCACACAGTGTAAACAGTATCTAAGATACCAAATAACTGCATATTGCTTTATAGACTTCAGTAAATTATTAAAATTAGATATATATATATACGTAATTTGTATTGAAAACTTGTATTTTCGTCACCAAATATGTAGAAAACGCATGTCAAATCTGGATTTTCCTTGCATTCCGACTAATTTTCGAAGCCAACAGTTTTTGATTCCTTTGTTTTGTTTTCTGACAACTTTTCAGGCCGTCTTCTGATCATACAGGTTCATTACAAAGAATGGGACGAAGCGGATAATACATGGGAATATGACGGGATTGAACCACTTTTTAATTCTCTCGTAAAATCCTGCTTAACACGTTGAAATTTCTTATTACATACGTCGATAATTATTTAAGAGTTCGACAAATCATTGAAATAGGTTGGCATATAGCCAGACTTCTTTGATTGAGGTTTTTTTTGAATTAGATATGACATAGATCCGTCTAGAATCAAAATTTTTTTTCTTGATGTGACTTCTCTTGTGGGATAAATCAATCACATCCTATCGTCGACTTTTTTTCGAGATCGTACAAAATTATTCGGTAATATTGCCTTGGATGAAAGTACTTTTTCAGTTTTTCCTGAGAAATCCAAATCAGGTCATTAAACAAAGTTAATTGCACACTATCTAATGAACCACATATTCCTTGTCTTATTACATTTCTTCAAATGAATTTATGATGTATCATCTATTTTATTGTTGATTATTCTATATTAGATATTATGGAAGAAAAACTCAACGAAATCCATGAGATATTTCACTCTGGAAAACATAAAGAATCAATAGCCCACATAAAGACAGTGATCGAAGAATTTTCAACAGACAGTTCAGTCTATAAGGCATATGATATTCTTGGAAAATATTTACACTTTATGGGACAACATATGGAAGCAGTTCAAGCATGGGAAGATAGTTTGAATTTTTTGGAATCGAATGTTGAACGAGTAAATGAACTTAGGGACGAGAAAATTATTGATTGGATCAATATTTCACTTCAAACAGCTCGGATCGTTCATCGTCTGGGTAAAAGTCAAATGAATAATTCGTATTCAATCGCAATAATGTTTTTCATTATCAGGCACGGATGGACCAGGAGTTTCGTACAAAAATCATCGTGTATGTTATACCGTATCTAAAATGACTAAAGCCGAACAGGCAGAATGGAAAATTGAGCAATATCACAGAGCGGTAAAACATTTTAAAGGAGCACTGGAGCATATTCCTGCTGACAGTACGGAGATAAAGAGGAAAATTCAACTTGAGTTGGCTAGTGTTCTGTTCGATTTGAAGCAATTCGACGAAGCAGTGAAAATTTATGAAGACGGCTTTTCTGTAAGTAAAATCAAAAATAATTATTTTAACTGTATGCATGCATAGTTACCTATGGGCATTTTTTTTTCTCCACAATAACAGTAATCGATGATTGATTTTTTCAAAGTTCATGTAACATTTCATTGTCTAAAGCAACCACTTTGACTAACGGATTTTTCGAAAAAGAGATTTTTTTTTTGAAATGTTGATTTGTCAGATGTTCATACTTTATTCGAAACTATTACGAAAGAAAATCTCATTTACACAAGCAAGTAATGAAATACGATGGCTGTTGTGTAACGATAAAACATATCTTTTTTTTTATTAAGCAAGTTAAAATGATAGTATCATCATTTACAGTAGCCTTGATCACATGATATTATGGAAGAAAAACTTGAGCGAAAATGAAGTATTTGATGTTCTTTGTTTTGTTTTTTTGCAAGAACGATGGTGATCCTCAATGGCTCTACAATGCTGCTGAATGTTTATGGCAACAGGACAAAAAGGAACAAGCTTACACAAGGCTTGAACAACTCATCGGTACTGACTCCACTTTCGCAGCTGCTTACAAGATGCTTGCGACTTATTTTACCGAAAAAAATGATACAACAAGCGCTGATGAATCGATGCTCAAGCATAAATTCTATTCCTGGATTCCAAGCTTCTGCCGTCACATTGAATACAATCCAGAGAATCTTGTCATAGTAGAGGAACTGACCTCTGATCATTCATTGGAATGTGTCAGCACAACACTTGCGAACGATGAGTCAAGACGATCCACAGAATTTTTGGCGGCCATTTGCTATCATCACTATCACGGATCGGTAGAAAACAAAGCATTCGCAGAATTGGAAAAACGAGGCAAAGCATCTGAAGGTGCTGAAAGAGACTTCATTGGGTCCACGCTTATGCATCTTATAGAAAATCATCAGACTGTGTGTACAGTGAAAGGTGCAGCAAAAGCATTGGCCGGAATGAAGTATGAAAATGTATTTGAAGTGTTGGAACGTTTATTGCCTCAAGATGTAAGTTAATAGCTGTTAAAAGATTGATTTTTAAAACTGTTTATATATTAACGATTTATTTTAGGTAAATCCTTTCTTTCCTATGAATATACCAACAGCTCTCGGAAAATTAGGTGATCCAAGAGCTATTCCTCTTCTTGTGAAAATAATTGAACACACAATGGACGAAGAAAATGAGGATAGCGACTCATCCGACGGGTTATTTTCATCAGGTGGAAAAGGTCGATTAGTCGTGGAGTCTTGCTTAGCACTCGCATCTTTTATCGGTAAGTTGTTTTTGTGTATTGTTTTTTCATAATATTTGCTGATTTGCTTGTTTTGAAGATGATGAGAAAGCAAAAGAAGTGCTAATGAATGGAATCAACAATCAACAAACTCGCGAAGCCTGTCTTGCAGTTTTGTGTCTTTGTACAGATGAGAAACAATTTTTCGAGGAGCTTGAGAAGATATTAGCACAAGGAGAAACTCTAGACTATAGAGTAGAGGCATATTTGGAAAACAATATCAACAAATCACCTTATGGTGATCAACTTTTGAAGCTGAATGAAGAAATCCGTATGAAGAAAAAAGCGCAAACCCAAGACGACGATGATGAATAATAATTTTTGTATATCCAATAATGTTTTTAAACATTTTTCGCAATAAACTCCTTACATATATCGAAAGAATGCATTGAAAGTGGGTATGACCGCAAGAGTTACCCTCAAATCCACATTCGCTATTCACCCTTAGAAACAATATTCAATCGAAGGTAGTCGATTGAAGATTTTCTTATTCGTTTTCGATCTCTGCTGTGAATACGATATGTGAACTTAAACGATGAATTTACGTACAGCAGGAAATATCAGAGAACAAAACTTATTATGCAAAAGAGTTCTTATGTTAAAACTGAATTTTTGGCAAAAAAATTAGTTAATTCTAAACTGACTTCGAAATTGATACTGTGTAGGGTTCTAATGATTATAGCAACAAAAACATTAGGACAATAGCAATTACTATAGCGAATCTAATACAATTGGTACTACTTTCACTTTTCTCTGTCACAAAAGTCTAGATAATAATTCTTAAAAGCTATTATTGTGACTTTCTTGTTTTTTCTACTTTGCTGCTGGACACAAGAATCTTCCATATCATTTATCACGTTCCAATCCCACAATAGGACAGGCATTACACTTTTTGTTTTGTATTATTCGTCGGTGAACCTTCTGGTAAAAAACTGAGCTTAACGAAATCTCAGAAGAAAGACAAAAATGAGAAATACTAAGACTATAATTATTTCTAAAACAATCATCAATAGTACTGTCTTTTTAACAACTTTAATCCCAAATGATCATGCCTGGTATATGTTGTGTAAAAAGTTGTAAAAATTTATAATATTGATAGTATACGGGGATGAACTAAATTAGAGGAAGTTTTCAGACGTTCTATGAGTAATACACACACACAAGTATAATGATGTTTTGAAATTCTACTTTTCGAGTAGTCAGTATATGTTGGCACTACATTCTGATAAGTCAATAAACGAATCCAAAAATACTTTTATTATGCAGTAAAAGATTACTAGTCACATAGGATTTGGATAAATGAAGAAAATGATGTAAAGTCAGACTTTGAGGAACAATCGATCTATGACTATTGTTGATTATAAAGTCTTGCAAAGGCTTCTTAAAGATATAAACTCATTGTTAAATGTAAATACACGATCTACACTAATGTATCAATACTTTTAAGAAGATCGAAATATATTGGGCATACTTTCATATATTTGAGGTTTCAAAAAAAAAATAGTTCGATAGTATCTCGCGTCACTAATACTAACTCGTATTCATGAACTACTCAAAACACTAATATAATCATAGATGAATTCAAAATTTTAATATGATATACACTTGTTTTTTATGACTGGCGCAATAAATTTTGAAAATTGATATAGACATATCATCACCAGCTAGTTCTCTCTCAAACCATTTTATCATTTTTTTTTATTTCATTTTCAATTGATTCGAAACGAAAACCAACGAAATCGAAATTTGTTATAATTAGAATTTGATAATACGAAATAGGATCTTATCATGTACATCAGTTTCTCTCTTGTTATTTTTTGTATGTTGTAATCAATTCCATGTTTTTTCTTTACGACGTTACTTTTTCTCATCTTCTATATCAGTTAATAGAACAAAAAAAAAAAAAAAAGATAAAAACTATTTTAAGATCTAACACGATCAAAATTCTTTTCATTAATAACTTCCAACTATGCAGAGTAAGACGCAGGATTGTATGCTTCTGGTTATTTTTATTCTTCTACTTAAAATGGTAAAATCCAAACCAATTAACGAATACTCATCGGACTATAAGAAAAGATCACTAAATAAAGACAATGATGATGACAACGTTGCTGTAAAAACAAACAAAGATGCTTTCAAATTTCTCACTCAATTTGGCTATAATCCATGTGAAAGTTCCGCTGATTCCAAGTCGAGTCATTCTACAGGTCTATCCTGTCAAGTGAGCATGGAATCCATGTTGGAAAGCTTTCAAAGAAAGTATCATCTACCTGTAACCAAGAAGCTTGATGTTCCTACGTTAAAGATGATGAATACACCACGATGTGGTGTATCTGATTTTCTATCGGAAATTATTGATCGCAGTAGCCTTTGGTAATATTTCATTTTACTGTCTTATTTTCTTATGGTGACAGTAGTCGTATTTTAGGATATTCCGTAAAATGTTGTTGCGAGAGTTTTTCCAGATATTAGCTTCCGATGACATGAATTCTAGTTTATATAATCATAACAAATGTGCAATTGAATAAGCTCTTTTCTCTCGTTTTGCAGCAAAAACGAGTGTAAAAGAAAACCAAAGTATAATACTCATTATAAATGCTTACGTAACGAAAGAGTTTCTCCTCATTGTTTTAAATTACAACATACCGTAAAATTCTTTACAAATATTATATGGAATATTTTATTAGAAAATATACAAACTAAAAACTGCTCGATAAATTCTAGGAATATCTAACGTTGTTAATATACTTAACCGCTTTTGAGCGTGCCTAAATTAGGTTTTAAGCATTATCAGAGATCGGAATCTAGTTTCATAATGTGAACGGTAACCTTAATAGAACTGACGAGGGAACTACCCGAGGTGCTAACAAGCTTTTGAGCTGAAATTTTGTCCACAAGTAGGGAATGCATAGACTAGAAAACGCCTAAGAGGATATGT